GGTAAACATGCGAAATTGACTGGATGAGGACATTGTTTACGGACATCTCCATGTTGAGGAATAGTTTCGAAGAGAAAATTGCGTTCGTCATTGCCGGGATCCTCCTCAACCTCAATCCTCCTCCTGTCTGAGAGCGAGTGAAGACTAGACTTCACAACAACAGGATTCATACAACAGCCTCAGCCGTCATTAGTGCAGATTATCCTGTAACACGACGTAACTTTCGCGAAAGGGGGATGGCTGCTTGCAGGAAGAACCGTGCGACAGGTGTTACCTTTGGCGCTATCAGGCGCCTAGAAGACAAGCACTTCCCCATACAGCCGAGGAAACCTCTCGCAATATTTAATTATCATGAAAATGAATGAATGTTAATGGTGTTCATGTCTTCGTCACGGAAACGTGAGCAACTGACAGTCCTAATCGTGAAGAAAATGGCATTTCGAGCGTGTAAGATATCGTTTAGAAGCCCTGTACTTTGACGAGGTGATTTCACGCCGCAATTGCATGGATCAGCTTCGCGAGCTGTTAACAGCTAAGCACTACACTGCAGAGAGTAATGGAACGATCACAGGAAATCTCATTCAGACTCCGTGTAATGGACTCCCTTCTTGCGAAAGGGTTGGGACGCTTTGCTTCCATGAGGTGATCAATGTAAGAAAAGAGTAAATGTTCGAATCGGAGCTGTAATTTCGTAGCATATTGGTACAATTTATATTCACCTGAAAAAACATTCATATTTTTAAAACGTATTCTTTTCCGAAAAGGTAGCCTACCCACATGGATCGCTCCATTGTCAGTTCCATGAAAACTCTTTGGTAAGCGGAACTCGTAATTCGCGAATCCTGCAAAATAGTTAACATTCTTAACCTCGCGAAGAAAAACTCAGCAAAGAAGTAAAAACAGTATAGAAATGCTCTTGATGATATAATAAATATGATGATATCCATCAAAGACGCGTCTGATGATCGAATATCAGCTTGCTCAAGTTGGGTTTTCCATTAGATGTGATGGGTAAATTGAAAAGTGTAGTCATTCCGAGACATCCTAGTGTGACCTCTGAGGAAATTCCTTGTCCAATCTGTGTTTTTCGCTAGATAGGAGCCAGACATCACTTCCCAGTTATAAAAACGATCGTAGAATATGATATCGGCTTGCTCATCAATGAATTCTTCGATCTTCGTGAATTAGGAATAATTTTACTTTACATGAATAGCTGCGGCGCATTAGCTGTGTGATTAGTTGTCTGCATTAGGGAAGCAAAACTATAACCAAGAAGAGTAGAAGATGGTATTGAGTGGCACCTCCATTTGTTTCTTTGCAATGACATCCAGAGTTAGTACAAAAAGAAATGGGCTGAGCGGCCGACTCTTGATGTACCCCACCATTTCAGTCTACCTCCTTTGTAAGGCCGTCTCGGGTACGCATGCTTTAACGCCACCGCACATGTCCTTCAATGAGGAGATGAGGTTTCGGAAACATTCCGTTCTTTGAGAGATCTCTAGAGCCCAAGTTGCGGTGAGCGATAAGACCTCCACGTGATCCAGGAAGACTAGGTAGCGTTTTCGACGCTTCTCTCGATACCTTTCCATCACCTGTCTGGCAATGGAGATTGCTTCGGTAGTGGAACCCTCAAGCGTGGAGCCGAACTGCTATTGCAATATCGGAACGAGGTCCCTTGACCTGGTGTTGACTAACCTCTCGCACAGCTTAATGGTATGCGTGGTCAATCTGATCGTAAGAGCAGTCCTCGCGTCCCCCTTTGCTGTTGAAGATAGGCGATCTTGATGCACATTCAAGCCTCGGCATTCTTACTTCGGCTGTTAAGTTGCTTAGGAAGCGGGTGAGCCAACCCCTGCAATCGGTATCCCACCTAGACCAGCCGCTCCCCGACCTTTCCCAGGATCCTCGTTCTCTATCAATGCTGTGATGAGACGAGCCGTTTCCGTTATTTGTGGGCTGTCTTTGCGAGGGATCTCCTCAGTCAAGATGTCTGCCTTTCACCATTTTTTCGATATCGACTCCCTTCCTCAGATGGCATTGTCGTAGCTTTTCAAAGCCTGATGTCTTGGATAGCCCGATGGCGAGCTTTAGCCAGTCGGAAGGCGAAGTTATCTGCTTCTGAGCTGTCCAAGCTGTCGCAGAGGGCGTCGACTCCCTTGTTGTTCGCCTTGGCTACGACGCCACGACTGACACGCCACGGCTCGTCTCTCTACTTTGGCGTAAGTTCTACCACCGTAACCTCTTCTCAGTTCTTACCCTCACCTTAGTGGGGAGATCTAGGCAAGTTCTGCTAGGACGGTCTGTGTTGAGGGGCCAGTTCTTCAACAAACAGCACTTCGATGTCTTTAACTTTTTGGATAAGCATCCTCACGA